AATTGTATGTGTCTAAATTACGTCGAAAACGTAGGTACAAATTATCGTTCCTATTTAAATGTATTCTTCATAAAAGTTAGTACACAAAATTCCGATACCTCACCAATGAGACAATTGTGCGAAATAGAATATTTTCACTTTTTATGATCTTAATAAGTAATTCAACAAGAGTGTAGGTAGGTACGCGTATGGTAAAATTAAGACATTAAGCAACTTTCAAATATTTTATTTTACTAAACCATTTCTTTCATAGCTATTCAAATTAAGAATAATGATTCAACAAAACGTATGTAAAATACTGTCAACTGTCAAGGGATTTATAATGAAATATGCAATGTAGGTAATTTTTTATAACAATTAAGAGCACACTTACTATATGTGTTACCTCCTCCTCATAAACGAGAACATATCAAATTTAGACCATTTTACAAATATTATAATGTTGCTAACTGTATAATATAAGAACTATTAGCTACTATCGAATTTTAAAAAAAAAAGAAAATTATTTAAGGTTTTTGGATTGTTTTTTATAATATTTTAATTTTTCAGCGATTTTAAGTATGTATTTTTTTATTAAAAAATTATTTACAATCTATATTTTATAAGTATGGTTTAAAATTTGTACGTAAAATAAATTTATGACCAAATCGATTTTGTATTTTTGTAGTAGGTAACTCAAAAACAAATAACTGTAAATATTTTACATTTACACCAAATGTTTATATTTTATTTTTTCACAATTTTTCTTTCGAGATAAAATTTTCAAAATAAATTGACTCTTTTTGAGCTATTTATAGATAATTGCGTTCGTCAACGAATGTTTTTTTTATTTAGTTATACTACTTTACGATTAAAAAAGGTAATCTATTTTAATAAAATTGAAATTACAAGAATGTTTTAGTGTGCACAGTTCACCTAAAAATCATTATACACGAAAAACGATTCTAAGCGAAGACGGTCTACCGACTACCATATTACTAAGTAGTAAGTAGGTATTTTTATATTGCGATTAAAGAAATTTATTTTACTATTATGTATTAGTCAAACAGTAGCCAGTAGGTTAAATTCATTTTTGTCGAAAAAATTGCATTTGAAAATATCATATGTAGGTACCTATAAAATATAATAATATACCTACTCAAACAGTTTCAAGTACCCACGAATAAAATGTTTTAATTAAAACTAAATAACTATGATCGTTATCCTTGGTTTTAATATGTAGGTAATTACGTCCAAATTTGAGCTTAAAATAACTATGAAAAAAAAATGTGTTTATATATTTTTAGATTTTTTAGTTACAGAATTAACTACGTATACATGGAACCTTGTTTTAATTTTTCAATCTTAATCTATAAACATTGAAAATTAAAAATGTTATTAATTTTTAACTACAAAATAATTATTTTGTCAACATTAAAACTTAAAATACTTAATAAAAAAAATCTTGCCTATGTATTTTTAATATTTTTTAAACTGATATTGTAACAATGTTTAAGGATCTTTGTATTAGTATTACATTTTCAAGCTTTTTGACCTAATGAATAAAATTATATTGACATTATTATAGAATAAAAATTAAAAATTGAAAATTGTATTAAGTACCTATATAAAATAATTAAATAAGAATTTGGTGTAACATTCAAGTACCTATCTATGATTATACGATTTTGAATTACAACAAAATAAGAAAATCTTTAAATGATAACCCAATGAATTTCAATGTCGTAAACATTTTACGCTCATAAAATTATGTGAATTTAAGCTCAACTTTTTTTTAATTTTTACTGACAGCAAATTATAAGGAACCTTGTATTACATTTTCAATTTTTCGACGGAACAAAATTTTTTTTTATTGACATAAATTTTAAGAAAATTAATAAAAACCGAGAAAATTTCATGGCGTATAGAAAATTCTAAGATAAACATTCAATAAAAGTTACATGCAACTACGGTAATTTGTTTTAGAGTTACAACAATAACCAACATCGATTTTGTCAAAAACCCAATTTTTTTGTTTTTCCAGGCGATTTTGAAATCTACTTTATTTTAAAAACTCCAAATACACCAACTAGATTCATTTTCCCACCGGAAAAGATGCTGAAGTTGAAAATCGATGCATTTTTTCGACTGCTTATCGTGTACACAGACACAAAATATAAAAAATAAAATAACACACATCATTGTATTGTACGCTCCGCTAAGAATCTAAAAATATACGATTTTACTATAACTGATTACGTTCACTTTTGTTATTAACTTATCAACTAGCCACAATTTTCCATTAACCCCTCTCGTGGAATATTATAAATACATCCCTGCTTATGTAGTTATGTATGTCATAATAATCTTTGTAAGAAAAGTAATATATTTTGTAGGAATTTTTTGTTAATACTTCACCACAGAAACAAAATTTGCATCATTTTTAAAGCAAATAATTTAATATAAAATCAGAAATGTCTGAAGATCTATTTAATATACAATATTAATTTATTATAGTCAGATTTAAATTTCTTACAGAATATTTTGAGTACTAATCGAATTTTTAGCATAACAATTGTTTGACAAGTATAAGTAGAATATTGTTCAATTGTTTGAAAAAAAAATGTTTATTAAGGAATAAATTACTTCTATACAATTTAAATTAATAATAATAATTCGCTAAAAACTATTTGTTTCTGCCAGGGAACATTTTTAATTATTATAAAAAATTTAAAAAAATTTAAAAATCCAATAATTGCGCTTTCTTTTTTATAATTTTGTAATTATATTAATACTTAGTTTTAAATGTTTTAGTAAAATATACATACCCAGATATACCACTTAGCTATCTATCTATGTACGACCTATATTATGTCCTATAAACTTAAGTATATGAACAGTGAACTCATGTAATATGAATAAATCTATTATCTATAATATTTAAAATTTATCTTTATGTGATTTTGCAAAAGTTTTTTGGTCATACTTCTGATTAGAATAATACTTATTTCGCGAGTATAAATTTAGTAATTATTTTATTTTACACGTATCTAAAACAAATAAATACGTATATTTTTTAAAATTAATTTGTAAATTAATTAGTTTATGATTTTTAGAATTCAATATTTCCATTTGCATTTATAGTTCCAAGATTAATACTCCCGATTTGAATTATTAATTTAAAAAATCGTATAATTAATGAATACTTTAATTAAACATATAAGTACAATACTTAAATATAGTAACTATAATCCGCTAATATTTCTAACCTATGTTAAGAATGTAATGTGTACGGCTTATTTCTATTATTATTTTTGTATCCTACAGTATCCTACACATCGTGTTTGTGCAATTATTTTAAATATCAATTTTTGTTAATAGAGTCAGATTTAAAAACTTAAATGTAGATGAAATAAAATATAAACTTGGCACAACCTCACATGTGATGTGAACAAAGTATATTGTAAAAATAGAACTGAACTATCACGATTACAATTTATAGATACACCATGATTGAATTATTAAAGCATACACACAATATTGTAATATCCATCCAAAAACTTAATATGTTAATTAACGATTAAGTTATAAATATGGTATCGTATTTATTTAAAATGTATCATTTTAATTATTAAAATATTAAAATTAAGTGCTTGAACTAAAGCACACGTGTGTGGCATATCAAACCTATCGTTTTAGTATTTAACGCACAAGCACAACACAATTTATTTATTATTAGTATAATCATTACGTAGGTACTTTAATACTATATATGAATTATAAAACAACAAACTTGAACTTTTGCATAGCATAAGATATCGTAGATGTATATACCTACAGTACACACACGACGTTCCTTATGTATACAGCATTACCAATAGTTTAGATTTAAATTTAATCCATAGCGATCGCACAAGATTTCGTTAGGAATTTGTTATTATTAGTTATAAATTATAATTATAATTTAATTATGATTAAGTATGAACAATAAACAATTAAGAAAATAAATAAACTTTATATATACCTCCAGGGAACGGAGACTCCTAAACTCATGTCTAATAGGACAAACAAATTTAAACTAAATTAACACTGAACATATTCTTTCTTCTCATTTTTTTTTTTTTTAATAAAAATGACTAATCTTGCAACTGGACATTGAAGATAGCCAAAATGGACCACCACCACCACTACCATTTCCACTACCATGCGGTTGTGTATTTAAAAGCGTTATTTTTAACATATTCATTTTGGCCCTGGTACGTGGTTTTTGCAACGCTATTTTCGGACAACAGACACAAGACAATTTGTTTATAACAAATTTTATACCAAAAATTAAAATATAAAATTTTTATGAAATTTATATTTTTATAAAATAAATATTACTTTAGTGAATATTTTTTCACTTTAAGAGTTACTCAAATTTATTCTATTCCAAAATTACAAATCAAATATGTTCCTACCGAGTACTATAAACTAGTTTAAAATGTAAGTTATGTTTAAAAATAATCCTTTATTGTATAGTAAATAAAATAAACACGTTAATCATAGCCCACGGGGTAGGAAAGCAGGATAGCATAAAGAATAAAGAACTACCTATTTTGTGATATTAAATTTAAAAACAATTATCAATCATTTCGTTCAATAAAGATTAGTGTTATACTGTGGGATCGATTAAAACTGGATTTCTTCTATTAAAAATATTATTTACAGAAAAATATAACAGAGTGCCATTGCAGTAAAGATGACTTATTAATTATTGTTATGGATAATAGTATTATAAAACTAAAAAACTGAAAAAATTATTTCTATGCGATACGTATTTTCTTCATTTTCTTAAAGTTTAAATTAATAAATACGCCTGACTTAAATTTATATTTTAAATAACTGAATATAAACTACATAATAATATGTTATACAGTCAAATGGGTTATAGGTATTAGGTGCCTACTATATAACTCTTTAGCCTATAATATATTATAGGTATAATTTCTAGAATTATTGTTTTGAAAAAAAAAACTTACTGATCTTCCTGACGGGAACTGTTGTATATTTTATTGAATTCTTCTTCGACTCTCGACCCAGGAGATAAATCTGGTAAATCCATTTGCAAATAATTTCTCTCCAACAATACATTACTGAAAGTCACCTATATTGCAAGTATGTGATCAATATTTAAAATACATTAATTATTAATAAATGATAGGTAATATTTATATAGTTAAAAAAAAATGGTAGGATCTTATTCATATGAATTACCTTTTTCCTTGGCGAAACTATTTCAGCTTTTGACTGAACAATAGGTTCGGGTGTTTTGGGATAGAATGCCACACTTGCTGGTCTTACTGGACTTGGAGTGCGGAGAGCACTTAAGTCTTCCATTGAGCATTTTTCTAATTTTTTCCAAAAACTCTTACAATCACTAGATGGTCCAGTGACCGATGTTTCCACATTCGTTTTCCAGAATTGCGGTGAACTCGAACGACTTCTGAGACACACGGGTTCACCGTCTCTTTGTAATGAATTCCTTCGAGGTTTGAAATTGGAAAACTGTAATACTTCATTATCATTCTTTATTGGCGACAGGATAAATTCTTTGTTAGGTTCTTCAAAACATCGTTTTAGGCATTCTTCCGAATCTTCAAGTTCACGCAATTGGTTTTCTGAATTAGTAGAGATTTCTACATTATTATTAATAATTTGGTGTCGAGGAGAACCAGGTTCTGATGTACTATGATGTTTTGAAAAGACAAAATGTTGTAAAGCTTTACAACTGGATGACCTTTTAGGTGGTACGACGTTTTCACCGCGTCGTTTTAGTATCAAAAGTTCAATCGAATTACTCGGCCTTCGGAGGAAACTAACTGCCTGAGACTCGGTTAACGAATAACAGTCTATGCCATCGATCTCTAAGACACGATCACCGACATTTAAATAGTTGTACGCTAAAGTGCCATTTTGTACCTAAACAATGTTATTAAAATATTTTTTATTATATGTTGAAATTTCAAATAGGAATATTTTGTACTCACATTTCTCACGGTCAGTGGTCGCCAACTGTCTCTTCCGCCACATACTTGAAAACCCCAAGAGGAGTAAAGGTCGTTCTTCTTAAATGAAATATTCAACAACTGAGCCATTAATAATAAATTGTCATGCTACTCCGAAAATGTGCATATACCTAAGTGTGTTTGGGCAACTAACTGGCATTTGACTGTGTCCTAGTTTTACCTGCCAACAAAGGGCGCTCTAATCAGCGCTCTTAATTAAATTGTTGACGAGTGACCGGAAACACGATACATAAACTTTGGACATGGTAATTAAAACATGATTTAAGAATAAATCAAAATGAATAAATATTACATACAATATTGTAAATATTTAGGTAATTATATAGTATATACATTATTAATTATGAGTGTTTATTTCCAGGAGACCAGATACAAATGTAACCAATCTAATCATCTAAACTATGTACTCCTGTTCCTGTAGATTTAATTCAAGATACAGCTTAAAATAATTAGCGTACAAGATATCATGATTCAATTTGTAAAGGGTTTGTATATAAGTACACCGTACACGGGATGTTTCACCAAGCATCCTCCCACGTTTTTTTCTCCAGTGGGTATGCAGTTTTTAAAAATTTAATTTTTAGAATTTTTATGCACAAAGGGTGGGAGCCCCTCTCTCTGGAATGTTTTCCTTCACTCAATTTATTTTTCAAAATTATTCTCTATAGGAAATTATTATACCCACAACCTCTTTCCCCACGAAAATCAAAATTATGTATGTGCTACTGTTCTGTGGTGATACAAACTTCTGTTTTCCAAATGAGAACTAGGTACCTATTTTTACATAACATTATTTAGCAAATATTTTTTTTTGAAAATGTTAACTAATCTAAATCAATAATCTAACAATTCGTTTTAGATGTATTCAATTAAGTGTACTAAGGATAATAATATATCCATGTTAATGGGTTTGGAAGACAGTGGCTACAAAAAATCTCAACAATTTTAAAATATAGTCTTTAAGTACCTATATTTAAAAAATTAGAATTTGAATAAATGAATTATTAATTGAAATAATAGGAGTGAGCATACTTGGTAAATCACCTTGTATAGTGCAGTATAAGTAGGTCCCTTCAAAAAATGTAGAAGCTAATTAAGTACCAAACATGTATCAATGTTCATTTTGTGTAAGTAATAAGTAATAAATAACTACTTAAATTATTAATTTTCAAAAATTGCATGAATCTTAATCATACTCTTGAATAATTCCACTCTCTAGTTTTTTTCAAAATCAATTTGTGCGTAATATTAGATAATCTATATACACACCTTGGTTTCTTCATTCCTATTTTATATATAACTAGTGTTACACAACTTCAACCACCCAAAAATGAACAAGTATAAAATATGGCAATCCATGCATTTCTGTTTACTTGTATAATCTTCGTTGGATTTGTTACAGCATCAAATTTAACTATAAGTAATTTTCCCAAAGTACAAACTAGATTCAATTTGCTACCAGAAATCATATTTTAATAATTGAAGCATTTCTCTGCTAAAATATGTGATGAGTGATGATTTATGACACACAACAAAAAAACACACATAATTGTAAAACCAATAAATTTATTTCTCTTTTCAGATTCTAAAATTAAGATATATTTACTATATATATTTAAATAAAAACATTACAGATCAATTTACATGTATAATTCTTAGAGTAAAAATGTATTATAAATGATTAAAACATCCACAACGAAAAAATGAATTGTGAACAATGAGCAATGAACATACACTATACATATAAGTACTATTAAAAATATACATAAAATATTAACTATAAATAAATTATAATTCAATTTTTTGCATCTCTGATAAATTTAATTTTAAGTTCATTAACATTTTAGATAAAATATTATTAAATTAACTCTCAAGGATAACTAACGGTTAGTCCTGTAGAAGTATAAAAATTATTAAGGTTATAAATGTTTTGAAAGTCACTAACTTAATATTATTTATATTAATATTTATTATATCTTTAATCTTGTAAGTTGTAATTATCATGTTATTATAAATGTTTATAAATCTGTATTTAAAATAAAACGGTTTCCCTCTGAATGTTTTCCAGCATAACGGTATCGACGACGGCCATATGCAGCTAATTAAAATAAAATAAAATGCACGTGTACTTCAAATAAATAGATGAATTCCAAAAATGTTATCAGTAAAAATACCTTGATGATGTATTTCTTGTGTTGGTGATACAGCAGGTGGGGAGAAAATATTTGAAGTATCTGCACGAGGTTGAGATCCTAGAGATAATTTCCAATCAAATCGAAGTGGTTCATTTCCAAAACGCTAAAAATAAAACAAAATAATATATTTAATGTAGTTTTTAATTGTATATGCATTAATCTTTATATCAATCATAAAATATTCAATGTATAAGATCAAAATGTAACATTAGCAATAACTAGGTATTAGTACTTCTTCTATCTACTATACTTACAGGACGTATGATTTTGGTAAATTCGCCTTTAGTCAATGCAGTATCAAGTTCTTCACGAGTAACTGGTCTTGAATCAAGAAATCTTAGTTCTGGTAAATAATGTAAGACAAAATACCTAAAGTATAAATATATAATTACTATAACAATTACAGATAAACCTGTTATTTACTTTATGAAGACAAATAAAATATTGTATAACCTATATCTTTTATAATCGTTTTCGTCTTTTTCAAAATCTATTAGCTGTGTTGGGCAAGCTTGGTTTCCAATCAAACTGAGAAATCTTAAAGAAGGCATATTATATTTTATTTGGGTAACCAAGTTTTCTAAAACCGTAATCTAAACAATCATAATAATTTTAGTTTTAGTACTTGAGTATACTATTTATATTATGTAATAGTTGAAGTATTACTTTGTTATTGTTCAGTGAGAGTATATGTAAATGTGGTAAATAAGGTAATTTAATAGTATCATCTAGATTATTATTATCTAAAACGAGCTCTTCTAAATCAGGAAATAGCTCTGAATGATTTAGAGTAGTCAAACTATTGAAGCTCAGATCCAAAGACCTAACTTTGGATCCATACATTTTACCCAGAATTTCTGGAATACTTGTAACATCTTGGCCAACATAACACAACTGAAACACAATCACAATTGAAATATTAGAACTGAATTCATTTTTATTTAGTCTGGCATGAATATTACATACATCAGGTGATATTTAATAATATCAGACTCATAAAATTGATGTTATATTACTATTCGTTTCCTTATTTTAATAGAAAGGTAGTAATAACAATCAATACAAAATGTTTATATATAGCCTTTATTTTCATATAGTCAGGGAAATGGACAAGTAAATAAATACATTATTAATTAAGGTATAGGAAAAACAAATTATTAAATCACCTACTACATGAATGTTTTTAGGCTACAATATATTGTACTTGTAGCATATTGAATAAAAGAGCAAGGTAATTTTAACTCCTAAAATATTCAAAATAAAGCAATTGCCAAATTGTATAGATAAAAATACTTATGAAATTCTAAATAAACATTAATTATACAGCAAAAATATATGAATTCAGCACTACATATAAAATGTATATTAAAGGAAAATAATTTTGGTAACTGGCAATATAAAAATTGTATTTTTATATATTACTGATGTAGATATCTTAATTATTTAATTTATAGATAATGTACTAATTACTTATGTTACCTGAGACTTGGACATTGTGGAATCCCTATTAACAGCATAATATAGATGGGAATATTTGTATGATTCGGCTTCATTAGATCTTTCATCATGAACACCTCCACCTGAGTATTATAAGAAGGAAAACCTAATTTTCACTAACAAGATATCTTTAAATCGTTTTATTCTTACTACTTGATAGAACTTTGGTTTCATGCACCGTTGTGACAGTCAAAGCATATGAAAATTTATATCGCTCTGGTGTAAAAAAGTGTAATTTGAGGAATTCCATTAAAATGTCAGCCTAAAGTTACATTAAAATATAATGTCCCAGTAATTTGATCAGTGGTAAACTAAAAGGTTTCATAGAGTAACTTATAACCAGTGTATGTATGAACCCATTCAAGTGTAAAGAGGTTAACTTTTAGTTTTTACTATTATGTTGGTATATTGTTATTATTGTTTTAGAAAATCAATAGCTCATAAATCCATTATTTACAGAAAGAAAAATCAAATGAAAAAAAAAAACAATTAATAACTTAAAATTAATCATAAAATAATTGAAAAGAGCACAACTTATATGTTTTGAATTAGGGAATCTAGTTTGCTTAGGGTAATCGGATTTAATAAAACGTAATAATAATATTATTAATAATTTAATCGATAGGGTCCTACCTACTCAGATTTAGCATAATATTATGCTTTGGCAAAGAATATTTAATTTACTTTAGGTCTTAAAATCTAAATAAACTATTACCTATGTATGATAATCTATTTTCAATATAAGTAGATGAAACATATTTTAAGTGTTGGTATTTTATAAAAAAAAAGTTAGATATTATTATGATAATATTTAGTTTGGAAGCATCGTTTTGGAAAAAGAATTGCAAATTTTTAGTAATTTTTAATAGAATCGTGAATTAGGTACTGGTTTATTAAATTCTATTAAAAAAACTTGCAATAAGAATTTTGTTTTTCATATTATTTCAAACCCAACTTGAATTTCCATATGGATAATGGTTAGTGAATGATACCATGATCACAATACAAAGCCCATGAAGCGGCAGGCGATGTTGCTGTAAATCCAGCTTTAAATATACAAAAGTAGGGTCGTCTATGAATCTTAAACCATTTTAACAGTAACATGAGTTTATTATGCATAAGCATAATTATTACTATTATAGTATAAAACAATATCATGAGCATATTTTAAATTTTAAATTCTAAATAGGTACTTTTTATTCAGCTAAATATCTATAAAATAATTTTAGGAATATTTAACTAGGTGGTACCTCGTTATCCACTTTAATTACAAGTCTTGAAAAAAAAAATTAATACCTACACCCAAATGGTGGTTAAATTACACAAATATTATAAAACTTAACTTAAAAACTAAAAATTGTTTTAAAAATATTGGTAAATGAAACTTGAAAAATTAACAAGGCACCTATAATAATTATTTTTTCTAATACCCACAGGTACCCATATTAAAATAGGTAAGTATAGTAACTACATGTATACCTCTATGATACATCTATATCATACGTTATGCAAATAATATAATTTAGTAAAATATGTACTTACCAATAGTAGGGACATATTTTGATACTATACTTATTAGGTACTTACCTGCTTTAAATGTTAATTAAATTCAAAATATAAACTCATATACACAATACACATGCAAGGAATTAATGTGGTAACTACTTATTAATTGCACAAATTATAGCGTATAAGTTATAATAATATAATCATTACCCGGTTGTTTTGGAAGTTTATTTTTCGCGGGTCTGAAAAATCTTCTTGATCCATGGTAAACAATTTAACACTTAATTTGTAAATCAGAACAAAAAAAACCTTACTTCAACTGTTTTTGAGTGACTTAAAATTGGTACTAATAGATAATTGACAATTTAGGTATTATTTTTTTGTTTGAGTATATTACATAATATAAAATATCGTTAGTCGACAAACACTAAGCAAAATATTATAACTTATAACAATTCTGTGACAAATTTGGAATTATTTACAAATTTGTGGTAAGTAGTACGTTGTTGATAGTTTAGTAATTAGTTACCAACTGGCCAGTAGCTACTTATTATATTTGATTAATGATTAATATTAAATAATAATACTGTGTTATCTAAGTTCTATCATTGATAATAAATACAATCTCTGTATTATGAACTAAGAAGAACCTGAAGAATTAATAAATAAATAGTTTATGCTTTGTATATTATAATATTTTCTATGAACGTTGAATAATTTATTTTAGTATGTTAACGAAAATTTTATCATAAACATGACAAAACAAATGTTTTTTTAGTAATGGTCATAACTCATTAGACATAAAGACATGAACATTAAACAAAGGACGCCGAAGGCCAACTGGCCAACTGATAAACTATAAAACTGGTCCTGGTACTCCGGCCGGTGTTGTTACTTGTTGCATCCGCCAAAACAGAATGCGCTCCGAAAGTCCGAACGACCAAACAGTCAAATAGTAATTTCAGAACTTGAAGTGGCGATTTTTAGAATATTTTCTAGGTGGGGTCCTTTGATATTATCTTATTCTTATAATATATATTAAGACACTAATATGTTTAGTTCATTAATAATTTATTACTTAAAATGTAATTTTTATATAAACTAAAAAAACATAACATATAATTTTAAAAGTGTTTTAAATTACAAGACAAAATCCATTTTTTGTTTTTTTTTTTTTATATTAAAATTTTAAAGAATATGTTGAAATTTGAAAGTATCTAATGTTATGAAAAATTAAAAATTATATTTACGATACAAAATAATTTACTTAAATAATTTTAAATGAACTACATATTATATTTACAATAATATAGATTTACTTTGTACATTAAAAAGAAATTACCTAAAATTTAACTAACCGGAATTTTAAATATTTTTTAAGTTTGATTCAAATATTTCAAATTTACATAACAAGATTAAAATTTAAACTTTCGGCAGGCACGGTGGGGGGAACGGAAAAAAAGTCTCGGGGAAAAAAAGTCCCGGAAAAAAAGTCTCCGGAAAAAAAGTCTCAAAGAAAAAAGTCTCGGTGGAAAAAAAGTCTCAGGGAGTAAAAGTTATATTTTTATAAAAAAAAATATGTCATTGAATCGTAGTCGTATTTAAAAAATAACACATAATATTACATAAATATAATAATATAAATAATATAAATTATTATCGTTGTAGCTTAATATTTTGAAATATGTATATCACACAATGTTAGATGACTTGTCAGGAACATATTTTACAGAATAAAAGTTAATACATTTTACAGAAATTTTTATAAAAAAAAAACATGTCATTGAATCGTATTTAAAAAATAACATATATATATCACACAAAGTTAGAAAAAAAATAATTACATAATTATAAAAAATCCTATAGATATATAAATTATAAATTGTTATCGCTGTAGCTTAATATTTTGACCTATAGCTTTCAAAAATCTTTGAGTTCAATTTTATTGAATTTTATTAGATTGAACTCGTTGTCATTGCGATACCGATTCTCAAGACCCAGTTCTTGTATTTTTCGGTGGGTGCTTTGTGTGAGATGATAAAAACAACCACGGATATGTTCACCTAAGATATTTTTTGCAGCTTTAATCACAGCAATTTCAAAATCCATATTTATTATTTATATTATTATATTTATGTGATATTATGTGTTATTTTTTAAATACGACTACGATTCAATGACATATTTTTTTTTATAAAAATATAACTTTTTCCTGAGACTTTTTTTCCACCGAGACTTTTTTTCTTTGAGACTTTTTTTCCGGAGACTTTTTTTCCGGGACTTTTTTTCCTCGAGACTTTTTTTCCTACCATCGCACGGTGGCTAATTAATATTATGTTAAATATTCGATTGTCATTTTATCACTGGCAATGTAAGCATACGACCATACGGCGAATAGGTACGTTCTTCAAACGGCCGAACACTATTACTAATTAATTATTATTCGTTATCACCAACAATAGGTATCAAAATATTATTACCTACCTAAATACTCATACCAAAATTTGAAATATTCGGACAGATCGTTGAAATCACTAGATATACGGCATAAACTTATATCCGCATATAATATTCGTAACAGCTATATAAACCCAAGCAAATATGTAATAATATATCACAGCCTAAACTCGGGACTTCTGGGAGGGGTGGCTCAGACCCCCGTCACCCTGTAAAAGTGTAAAACCGTCACTGAGTTGTGTAGTCATGTCGTTTTATATGTTATACCATAAGGCATTTATTGATTTTTTATTGTCATTTTCTAAATGTGTGAATTTTAATTTGAAAAATATTTTTTGAACACCAAATTTTCATCGATCGAATTCGAATGAATAGGTATGTATTTCCAAAAAGGTGGGCAAGAGCTATACAATTAGTATAGGTGTCGACTACTTGAGTGGGTTATTACTCACTGTAATGGATGTATGAGATTTTAATTCAATGATAAACGATTGACCATTATATGTATACGAAAAAAAATCCTGAAGGAAATTCTAAGCGGGGAGGCCTGTCGGTCTATATCGAGTATATTTCATACGTACATAATATGTTTTTTGATGTTGCTCTAAATACTAATAACTAGCTTTTAAATTGAAGTATAGTAAAAAAAACCATGAGATGCTCTAGATAATAATCTTACCTTTGATTTTTATAAAAGGTCAATTTACACTAATTTTTAAACTAACGAAACTAAACGTGATCTGCTGAGCGTACAATTTGGTATGTAACACACTTGTAAGACGGAGAGAACACAATATGGGTATAACCATAACGTCCTTTTTTTTTCTTTTTTTTCAAGAAAAATGCAATATATACAATTATGCACAATAAGTTTATGTGAGAAGAGTATAACAAAAACATTATGAGGTTACGTGAATAAGGAGCCACCCAATAGTATAGCACTTAGCTTCGAAGTTGCATTATTATAGGATTAAGTTAAATGATCTCTACTCCATTTTCTTTTAAGTCTACGACGTAGATTTCTAAGAAGTGACGGAATATGTAAGCCTTTTATAAGAGGATTTTCGTGGTTTGCCAGTTTAACGTCCTCTTAAAGTAATTTACTTTACTATTAGTATTACCATTGATTATAAATAGTATTTATAATCAATGGTATTACATTAGAGATTAGACTGATTTTATATACGAAACATTACATTTATTATATTATTATTTACTAATATTTAATTATTATAATAGTGTTCTTATTTCATATTAAATAATTATTATTGTTATTCACTTTTGAGACAAAAAGCTAGTACTTAATGTCTTAATACCATCTTACCGGCCGGCCATAATAGCCTAAAATTTATCCAAGTATTTTAAAAATAGGTATCATACCTAGCATATTATAAAAAATGTATAGTAATAGTTATATAAGTCTCTAGATTTTCAGTTATAAAAAAAAATCACTATAACATCGTTATATTTTGTTTAAATATGTATCAAAATTTAGTTATCAAAAATTTGGATGTATTCATCCAAATAGTAACTTCAAATTTCTATAAACAAAACTTTGATTATAAATTGCAGTTTAGAATTTTTGGTTTTAGTATCATCTAATCATGAGAAACCTTGTTATAAATGTACAAGCTTTTTGATCAAGCGAAAAAATGTTAAGTAATCGACACTAAAAAAACTAAACAAAAAATCGAAAATGTCAAATATCTATAAATAGCTTTAAAATAGTCAAAATATTTTGAATAATTATACCATTTAAAAGAAAATGATAATGTAAAAATTTAGTAAAAATGTCAAGTATTTTATGGTTTTGTTTTTGGGTTTCAATTTTTCAACAAAATCTCAAAAATAGTTTGAAAAGAAATAGTAATTTGATGGGTGAATATCCAATTTTATAAAGATTGAACTTCAAATGCTCATTAAATTTAGTGATGACATTCCAGTTAACTTTTGTAGATTTATTTTACGACGATGTGTTTTTTTTTAAATAAAAATACACACAGCGACATTGGCCATTCAGCCATTGGGAAACAAATATTATATTACAAAGTGTACTTTATTTTAATGATTGAGGGATATGATACTATTGGCTAGTTTACAATTTTATTATTTTGTTATTAATATATTATTACTATGTTACATATGTGTGTACCTACATTTTTATATTTTACAGTTTGTTTTGTAGATTTGATTTTTGATGAAATTGATAGTGGCTGAGAGTGAGGATATGTTGTGACCGAGAAATTTCAATAGATATTTTGGAAGTTTTGGGTTTGTTCGTGAGTTCGATGCATGTACGACATTCCATTTTTGGGTCTTTATACGGTGTACTTGATAAGTAATAGAGATAATGCTTCAATTTTTGACTTCAGTATTTTTTTCGAGTGAATCTAGGTAGTTGGTGGCACTTGGTGCATCCGGGCGGTCAAAATTAATCTTTAGTTAAATACCGGATATAATTGTGTTAAAAATATGTCATAATTGTACCAAAATTGCAAGATAAATATGATACAATCGCAAAAAAAAAAAAATACATTAAAGTAAAGTACATAATAAAATCATATTAAATATATAATTGTTGATTACTTACTTAAAGAACATGATAGGCATTAACAAGTTACAAAATATTATAAAGTAGTATTGAAAAAAATACTATAAAAAAGTATTTTAACACATTATTTTTCTTAATTAAAATTAAAAATTGTATACATTTATAAATTGTTCTGCATTTCTACACTTGTTATCGGTGTATATTTAAAAAGTTATTAAAAAAATGGCGTTATACTTAAATTAATATCTTGATTTCCTGCCATAACCTCAGAGTAAGTTTTATAGTTATATATTCCTTTTTTATAAGAGATAAGACATATTTATCTATTTTCTATTTTTTCCCTTAGGGCCTGGATTAAGTTGGCCAATAGATTATTTATCATCGATGTATCAATCTATTACTGATTAACGCTTAATGCTTCTCTACTTTCAGAAAAAATCTTCATATTATGAACATTTACATTGTACTATCGTAGTTATATTTTTGTTGTAAAATTACCTAAGAAATAATAACTTAAGAATTGTATTGTGTGAAGTAAGTACCTATACAAAAATTGCTATATAGTATTAAATAGAAAGACTGTAATTAGTCCGATTCGTGTACATTGATCAGATTTGATTTACCTGATATCAATAAAAAGTTCCAATAGGTATATATTAAATCCGGTCTTTATTTATAATACCTACACACAAATCAATATTGATTATATACCTATGGTTTATTATCTGAATGTTTTTATTAGTATTTACGTTACCTACACTATACAATTTTCAAAATATTTTTACTCGGAGTGATTTTTAAGCGCACAGATTTTTCAACTTTTATTAATATTTCCTAGTAAGTTTCGA